GCCTAAACAAGATCAAGCCTGGGGTTGGCGGGACGGGCTTCGACTTCTCGGCGGGGTGCACCCCAGTCGTCCTGAAGGGCGCCCACTGCCCCCGCGGGCGGTTAAGCGGGGCGATATCAGGGGAGACTGGAGGCTCGGCCCCGACGTTAGGAGTTCGGGCAGCCCTGGAGGCAATACAGGGGCGAGGGTTAGGGATGCAGTCCAGTAGGGGGGGCGACGGAGCGGCAGCTGGCGAGGGGAGGGGGGAAGGAGAGGAAGGGGAGAGGGCCGCCAAGGTTGCGAAGTTGGAGGGGGAGATCGAGCGATTGCGCAGCGAGAACCTTCGATGGCAGCAGGTGCAGTATAGGGTCTATCTTGGTGTTTTTTGTCTCGTGTGCCGGTGAAACAGATGAGAGTTATAAAATGACTGATGTCGAAACACACTTGCACATTGTACGCATGGATGTGTTTGTAGTTCATCCCGTTGATGGGAAAAATTTCAATCGAACATCAGTTGCACGGGGGCCTTGCGTGAGACATGTTTTCTGGCGTTTTTTTTCGTTCCTGAAGCTCCATAGGTACTGCCGTTTTCGGCTTTTCTTTGCAGATGGGTCGTTGGTGTCATGGTGGGGTCGTGATACAGCAATATCTAGGGCTGACACGTGCATTTTTTTTTTTTTGTGCCATCTTTCCTTTGCCGGCATGTTCTCGAGGGAACTATGGGCAAGAGTGGCGTGTCAGGTACAACTTTCTGCTCTTCCCATGTCACATCTGGACCACCACCCTCATGCTCACCCGTTTGCTCCCGCTCTGCCGCTCCCTATGTGTGGCTCTCTCTCTCTTTGTATATCTCTCCCTCCCCCCCCCCTCGCGAACCTACCCACCCGTCCTGCCAACGCACGGGATCTGCTGTGCGACATGCGTTCAGGTCAACAACACCCTGTTCCAGAAGCTTGGTGCGGCGAATAAAACGGCGTAGGGATAAAACGGCCGAGAATTTAGAGTGTAGAACTGTGCTAGTATCATCGGCAGAGTTACCTTCGGTTCCAGCTTCCCTGTCGCGGGCTATTGTGCACCTACGTGCCACCAGCTGAGTGGCCATGCCCTCGAGTGCTGAAGCTATTATAATAGGTTATGTTCAATCCCAAGTGAAGTCGCCATACCCATGTATGTATCCGCAAAAGTGGTTCGTGTGATTTTTTTGTGCTGCGTTTGCGTAAGCACCGAACGGGCCAAGCCGGTTGACCAATGATATACCAGCTGGAAAATACGTCAAGCTTGATGTTTTTTTTCTTTTTGTTCCTATTGAAGCCTATTGCCGGGTAAGGTCACGCTTGTCCCGGAAGTTGCGACTGAGGGAGGATGGCTTGGCCACCGTTTTCATCCGCACGGTTGACGCCTTTGGCCGCACGGCGCCGTTTTAGGGGGAAGAGGGGTCGCAGGCGGTGATTGTTTTGCAGACAATCTTCCGCTGGAACAACCCATGCCTACCCTTTGTCGGCTGGTTAAGCAATTTTGGTGGCACGTGCTTCTCGCTATTTGTTTCCACGATCGACGCGGTTGTTGCCGTTTCCGGCGATGCGGGAGAGGGGCAGGGGGAAGGGAAGTCGCGCGTGGTAGTTTCGTTCCCTTGCCTGAAACGTGAGAGGGGGGCGCTTGGTTGTCACCCGTATACAAACAAATGCATCTCGTGGAAAATGTCGAAAGCACCTTATCAATGTTCTGTGCATCTATCGAATGCATGTTGCGCACACGTATCCACTTCGGCGAACAATTAGGACAGCCGAATGCAACATGACCCGCTCGTTTGGCGACGTGGTTGTGTTGCTGAATTGGTGGGTAGTGACCAGCTTCATATCGAACGCAGATATCGAAGCGGCTGGGGGTCAGCTCATGCGCGTATTTCTTCTGTTGCATTTTTTTCTCGCCTCCGTCCACGAACGCCTGAACAACACGCATGCCACCCAGAACCAAGCCACCTCGGTCATGTATAATGTACATGCCGCGAGAGCAGGCCGGAATCACCACTGCCCTTTCGCAAACAAAAACAAGCCTTGGTGCTGCAACCCCTTGTTGCGGTTGAGGTGCTCTGTGTGGTTGCACCGTGAGCGTTCAACGCACGTTGACGAAAAAGGGAGGGGACTGCAGACTACTGAGCTTATCTCTGACCGGTCTGAAGCCACGTCAAACACACAAGTAAATCATGATTGGGAATCAAGGTGTTTGTTGGTACTGCTGTGCCTCTTGTGCTCGTGTGAAGAAACAAGCAACATCTCCTCCTAGTCTACAATGTGTTCATTGACTATTATCGCAAGCAACACATTTTTGCACGTCAATCCTTGTCCGAATTTCCGAAGAGCCAGGGGAAGACAGCGCGTCGTATGTACACATAAACATATCAGCCAAGGTCTGGATGAAGTCGGTTTTTCCCACGGCGAGGTGTGTAGCTTCGGTAGCTGCCCGTCTTGAGGGGACACCAGAGTAGTAGCCGCCAATGGAAAACAACCTTCCCTTTCCGTTTGACTATGCGAAAAAAAAAAATGCGTAGTAGCACGCGTTGCAGACAAACGTAGCCGGAACAGCCGTCGGCAAAGTAAGAACAGGTAAAACGGACAAAAAATTCCAACACCCCCGGTAGGAAATTCCGCTTCCATTCCCAACAAGTTGAAAAGTTTGACAGGAATAACAGTAAGTGAACTCATCGGCGGCAGACTACAACACTAGGCGTCATCCAGCCTAAACCCCGACAACGACAACACCATCGAAAAACACAACAATTCGCACTTCATAAACGACACAGCAGTCAGTGATACAACTTGAGGATCCTTCAACGGGAAAAAAGCGTTTCATCCGACAGGCGGGCAACACATGGAGCAACCGCGAGCGCGAGCCGATAAAAGCACCCCCCTCCCGTACACATCGGGGTTTGGGTTTTCGTCGCTTGGCAACGACGTTGTAAAACAAGCCAATTCACTTCGTGAACTCGGCAACCAGGTTACCGTTTTTTTTTTTTACCTCGGTTTTTTTTTTTTGGCGGTAACCATAATGGTGGTCGAGTAGATCATGTTGTGCGGGGTCGAGAAACCTCACTCCGCGCAACGGGGGATGATCGCACCTCGTTGTGTTAAAATGGTCAAGCTTCCTCGAGGCAGTTACACAGCGCTTACAACTGTCTCTGGAAGTGAAAGCACCAGAAAATAAATTAAGTCATACGTAGCTGTCATCCGTACGCAAGGAAGTAAGCACAAGATGCCGAACACCCTTAGCAGGATGCAGCTCACCCTTCATGCGACTCGCCAAATACCTCACGGCGCTTCGCGCTTGGTGATGTGAGAGCCTGGTCCGGTGAGAACCCGGCGTGCTCCGTCCCGGCTTTGTAGGGATGCGAGGTCAATGGTCAAACGACTACGGCATGCACGACTATGAGTACACCCCCCCCCCCCCCCCCCTCCCGTACACGACGCAAAAACCTTCCAGTGCATACACCATGCAAACTCCCCCACTTGTCGCCACAACAGACGTGTCCCACTACAGTAGTGTCTACGGAAAAAAACGGCAACCGTACCGCAAAACTATGTACAGATGAAGAATCAATGTGGATAAGCCACCCAAGAAGGGCGGGTACCCGCAATCATGAGAGTGAAACCACTCGGCACGTGCCCGGGCCCCTCACTGCCGTAGTCTGCACTTTGCATCTCTTGGTTCAGCAACTACGGAGGGGGCGAGGGAGCGACCAGCAGCCGGCAGCCTCCCGCCGCCCCCGGGCACATCGCGCACGGCAGCGGTGCGGCGGGTTTCTCGTTGAAGAAGGCGTGGAGGGTGGCGGCCGTATCCCCGGCTATCGGGCAGTCCGACAGCAGGGCGGACAGAGGCTGCAGACACACGCCTCTTTTGTTTTCTCGTACCGGTTTTCGGTGGTGCGTTGCGGGATTGCGCCCCGGCACCGTGGGTGACGTTGGGGGGGAATCCAAATAATCATGACGTGTTTCGCAGGCACATTAGAGGTGAACGTTATTGTCGTGGATGACAAGCCCCGGAGTCCCGAGGAAGAGGCGTGCGAAGAAGAAGGGAGGGGTGATGCCGAGCGAGTGAGCAATTTGGGTCGTTCACCAAGGACAGGTTCCACGTTTCGGCGTGTTGGTTGGTGTAGCGACATATCCGCATACACAGCCTTAGGGACGGAAGAAAATTAACGTGCTGGGTACACACCAGAACAGGCCAAAATGTGAAACAACAACAACAACAACAGGATGACAACATGACAAACGACAACAGCAACAACATTGCAGCAGCACCATAACCGCCACCACCACCACCAAGCACAACAACCATATCACCACCACAAAAAGAAGCAGCATCAGCAGCAGCAGCAGCAGCAGCAAGCAGCAGCAGCAGCGACAACAACAACACGAGAGGCACCTGATAGAGCCGAACGCGTCCAGCAGCAGGTCCGCCTCTTGCCGCCAATCCGGCACGCCCAAGCCCCTCAGGAGCTCCGCGAGAATGCCTCGGTGCGGATGGTCGAGACGAAGCTTTTGGTGCAACTGCGGAGGAGGAAACCGTGAAGAACGTGTACGATATGCCGCTGTTTGAAGCACTGATGCCATAGCCTATGAATACTGCGAGGACACCTTGTTGCAAAGGGTGGTATCGTGTTTTGCCTTTCCGACGTGGACACAAAATCAAGAGACGAGAATGTGCCAGCACCGTCAACGGAACAAACACTGAAAACCAAAATGACCTCTATCGTCGAGGTGTAGCTGTATATGCACAGATGTAGACCGGTTTCTACAAAGACAACAATATCACCATGGTGTTGGCGAAGCTGTCGGACGGACCGGAGAATAATCAGGGCGTGCGTCTACCACCCTGTTCAAGCCAATATCTACCAGGCGGTCGGCACACCCGACATCGTGTATGGCGAGTGGGCACCAACAGGAAGGACAATCATCATCATAATCACCACCACCACCAAGAACAAGAACAAGAACAAGAACGAGAACAAGAAAAACAACAACAAGAACACCAACTACAACAACTGTTTCCCGTCGTGGCCCGCCTGCTTGTAGTACTCCCGCCTCTGGCCTCCGGCAGTGGCTTTGAAGACCCCCTGGGACACCCTCTGGATCTCGGGCACAAGGAGCCCCTCCGAGGGAAGCAGCAGGACCCTGGCGTCGCAGGCAGGAGACAGCTGAAGCTGCCAAAGAAGAAAATATGAGTCGCAAGTTTTCGGCGCGCGGGGGAGGGTAGCTGTTTGGCGTCACTACGGAGGAGGAGGGGCGTCGGTTGAAGCAGGAGGGGGAGGGGGTGGGGGGGGGGTTCGCTGGGACTTGAGGAGCTAACCTTCGAGACGAAGACTGAACTCTCAGGCCCGGTTTGGCACATGACGGGAGGGGGGAGGAAGGGGGCTGGCATTGATTGTGGGAGCATGGGTGTCTGTGGGGAATTCTTCAGAGAAGGTTTTAGGAGACGCTTCATGAAGGACAAAGCATCCAACCGAAGTGTGTCACAAGTTCTTGACGCAGGCGAAGGCCTCCACAGCTAGGCACCGCCCACCGCTACAGGTCGGTTCCCAGTACTGTACCCCGGGCCTTCCCGCAAATTTTGCCATCTCGTCGCGCCAACACGCCTCATGACGGGACCATGTGCTTGCAGGTGGGGGTCAAATAAGTACGCCAGTCACACCTCCAACTGCCGAACTTGTAGAGCAAACCCTTTCGGGTACGAAACATTACTTTCGCGGCAGCATGCTATATGAAATCCCGCGGGGTTGGTTCACTGCCCGCACACACAACACCGCCTGGGTAGTAGTCCAGAATGCGGGAAGTTGTTGCACCGCCAACAACCAACCACATTCACGTTCGCCCCTTTGGTTGCACGCTAACGTGGGCGCGCGCCGCTCTTCATTGCCTGGAAGTTTCGCAGAGCGTCGGTGTTCGGACGGACCAGCAAGACGTAGCACCTCTCGAACCCGGCGGCTAGGCCGCGAGCACGACTCACGGCCTCTGCGACGTGGCCGTGGCTGAAGTTGGTGTGGAGCTGGAAGGCGCAGGTGCCTCCCCCCGTGCTGATGCTGTTTTTCCATCGCAGGGATGCATGGAAATTTGCGGAGGCAAAAAGGGGTTAGAACAGCTCCTCGGGAGGACGCGCACAGAACACGCAACACTGCCTTTTCACAGGAGGTTGTACGGACGGAAAATATCTTCACCGGCTTCGCGTTGCAACCCTCCGTTTGGTCTTGAAAGCCTATTGTACAACCTCGAAATACGCTACTACTGTCGTGACGAGAGATGGTGAGGATGGAAATAGAAGGGAGAAATCAGCACAGGGCTTCCGTGAGAGGGTGGAGGATAACAGGGAGAAATCAGCATAGAGCTTTCATGAGAGGGTCGAGGATAGCAGGGAGAAAGCAGCATAGGGTTTCGTGAGAGGGTGGGGTATAGCACGGAGAAGTCAACCTACAAGGGTTTTCATTTCAACGAGGAGGCAACAATAACAGCTAGCGCCAGCGAGACGCAGTTGACTAATTCATTCACGGGCGAAACCAAGACATCCGAATCATTGGGCGGCGCCGTCACTCCGCGTTTTGTCGACCACAACGAGGAAGGTCTCGAGAATAAAACGTGCGAAACGGCTTGAGGGTTTGTAAATATCACTCACACAACGTCGGCCTTGATCGTCCCCGATACGCGGGTCCCCCTCGCCACGGCGCGCAAGCCCCTCTCGAGCGCTGGTGACATTGGCGACGATGACGTTGTTTATCGGTGGTGGTGGTGGTGGTTGTGGTGGTGGGTATGCTTGCGTTCGGTGTGTCGGCTGTGGACCTGGCTGTCTGAAACTACGGCTGTCCGTTCGCGTACTTGCTGCACTACTTCTACGTCGGTGATTGGTCACCCTAGGGTGGTGTACACGCGCTATATCGCAAAAGGTGTGCATACCGAGATAGGTGTGCTAGGTAGAGGGAGGGAGGGAGGGAGGGAGGGAGGGAGGGGAGCGAGAGAGATATGTAGAGAGAGGTCATTGCCGCGCGGCACGTTCCGCATGCGATCGTATCGTGCATGCGCATACCACAACGGTGCGAGCCATCGCACATCCCGGAGAATCAAAGCTAGTTGCTCAACAACGAAGGATGCTCAAACCGAACAACTTACCAGGAAACCTCGCGTTGGATTGTTTCCGACAACACCCCATTTCGGCATCGGCAACGTCATGGCCATGGAGCAATCGGGCTATCAAAGTCGGTCTAGGATGACTCGCACACTATCACTGCGGAGCAGCCGCCCTCCGGAGATCTACTGCTGTGTCTCAGACAGTACTAATAATCTACAGCAGCGTAAATGGATGAGACCTACGTACAGCAGGTGCATAGAATCGTCCTGTTGTACCTGCAGACTATCATGTCGCCTGATTTTTCGGCGGCGGAATCTTCACGGCCTTTCGGCGAGTCGGATGGTTTTACAGTAGGTTTGTGTGGCTGATGGGGAGAGGGTCGAAGCAGCAAGAGAGCACGATTCTGTGCCTCTACTGCTGCTCTAATACAGCATCACCCACAAGTCTCTTCGTGATGCGTCCGCGGTGAAAGATATCACCGCTGATTCCCGACCGAACGGATATCGAACGATGCATGAGAAAAGCTTCAGAATTGCGAAACTTGCCGGGCCCAGTCATAGACAAGTAAACACCCCCTCACAACAAAAATAATAACTGAAATAATGCGTGGGTCACGCTGCTGATGATGAGCCCCACAGCTCGGAGTTCAATTTTCAAATTTCGACTTTTTCAGATCATGTGTGTAACCAGGTGACTCCGCCTCCACAGCGCAAAAGGGCCGTACTTAACGCAATCAACTTCTCTCTTTTTCGGGCTATGGACGTGTGGAGTCGCGAAAGCCTTACTCGGAAAACAAGCTGTCGGTCCAACCCGCTAAAAACATGAGAGGACGCGGAAACTGGCCCGTTCACTCGCTCTTCGACTACAGCAGTCAACCCGGACCAACCTGTGCCAATGATGCGAGGGTGCATGATTGCAATAGCATTGGAGATTTCTGTCCTGTCGGTGCCGGCTTCTCCTGCATCACCTCCGCGTCCTGACATCCCAGCGGTGAGTGTGCTTGTTCAGTGAGTTGAGAGAGCGCTAGTTCTACGGCAGCATCTTGCTGTACTGCTGTACTGTCGAGCAACCCCAGCAGATCTTCGGAGATCCGGGGGCTCAATAATGCAATATATAAAAAACTGCAATCGGGGTAGTCTATTTATTCCAATACGACGGGCCCCACAGGGACATGCACCCCGACGTTGAAGGAGATGTGTCCACGAGAGCGAGCATTGCTGACAGCTGGCAACGCAAGTGTCAAGACGCAGCGAGACTCAAAATTCCCGGCTGTGCGTTCGCCGTTCGATCTATCAGCCGTAGGAGACCTGGCGCCCAAAGCAAGCAATCTCACCAGCAGCTAGCTGGCTGCTTGTTGGCGGACCTCAGCCGCAATTCACGTACATTTGTACTCAATCCATCACAGCAGGTCTACCACCGCCGGAGGAGAACAATCGCTGGAGGTACCCTTTCCCAGACAACGGAATTCGTCAGCCCCGTCCTGAGCACGTCCCTGGGTGTCAAGGAGCAGTTCTGTGGCCGCTTCCTCCCGCCGGGGTGATTGTTTCGCTGGCGCGTTGAGAGAATACAGCATGGCGAAGAAGGCCAAGGGTGTGGCTGCGGGGAGCGGAGGAGGAGGCGTGCCCTCCCCGGAGAAGAGGAAGGGGAAACAGGGCAACAGCAAGGGGGGTGCTGCTGCAGGCAAGAAGCCGAAGTGGAACGGGGTGGCGGCGGAGGAAGAGGCTGTTGTCGCTGCTGCAGATGTAGCAGCAGCTGCTCCCGCTCCGAAGACCAGCAAATCGTCGGCGACAGCGAACGGGGGAGCCGGGCCGGCGGCATCATCGACCAGGGGCAAGACGAAGCCGACGAAAGCAGCAAACGCAGTAAACGGGCAGGCAGCAGCAGCAGCAGCAGCGTCGGCGCCGACAAGCCCCGACAAGCCGAAAGCGAAAAAGAAGAAGAACAAGACGCCCAAGAAGCAGCAGCGGCAGGACGACGACACCGCCGTTGCTGCTGCGCCACCGGCCGGAGCCGTTGCCGCTGCGCCGGCGGCGGCACCAGCTCCCGGCAAAGCATCGAGTGCGGCTAAGGACAAGAAGGTTAAGGGCTCTAGCGCTCCCAAGGCATCGACAGAGGCGGCTGTCGCCAATGGGGCCGGCAGCAGCAACACCGCCGTTGCTGCGGCACCGGCCGGAGCGGGCACCGAACCGTCACCGCCGGCGGAGGCGCCCGGCAAAGCATCGACTGCGGCTAAAGGCAAGAAGGGTAAAGGCTCTGGTGCTCCCAAGGTATCGAAAGAGACGGCTGTCGCAAATGAGGGCGGCAGCAGCAACGGCGGCGTCAAGCAGGGGAAGCAGACCAAGAAGGCCAGCAAGCAAGTGACCCCGTCGCCGCCACCTGCAGCAGCCTCCTCCTCCTCATCTTCCTCTGCCTCCGATGGTGGCGGCTCGGCTTCGGACGGCAGCGGTAGCGACGACGATAGTGGCGACGACGGCGAGGAGAAGCAAGCGCCGGCGGCCTCCAAGAAGGCCGGCGGCACGAAAGCTGCGACCGCAGGCAAGGGAAAGGGACGGGCAGCAGCGGCAACAACAGCAGCAGCAGCAGCAGCAGCGAAGAAAACTGCTACCACGGGCAAGCGAAAGGCCGGTGGCTCCGCCGGCGCATCCGCCGCCGCTGATGGCGATGCGGACGAAGATACCACCGACACGGACGAGGAGATCACCAGAGACACTAAGAAAAGCAAGTCGTCTGGTGTGCAACCTCAAGCCCCCCCTCCCAAGCCGGCGGCGCCGGTGCAAGAGGTCCGCCCGCGGGCGTCTTGCGCCAAGTGCAAGGGCAAGGAGCAAGACCAGGACCAGAACCTGCTCATCTTCTGCGCCGCGTGCGACAGGGGTTTCCACACCAGGTGCCTGGACAAGAAAAAGAGCAAGGATGTCGTGCATTGGGTCTGCCAGGAGTGCTTCGATAAGACCAAGTCGGTCTACGAGGTAAGGCTTAGGAAAGTAGACGCTTTCGCAAAGCAAAACGAAGTACGTGCTTCGTGCTAGGCACTGCAATGACCTCAAGTGCGTATATCCCTGACATACATGGCCAAGACTTTGTACGATAACATGCCCGCGACGTAGCTGTGTCCCGTTATAGCTCTTACGGGAGTTGCGGGGGGTGTCACGCGACACCTCTTCTTGTGTCTGGGTCAGAATTTCGTCGTTGCTGAAACGTCGCCGCCCGCCCCCGTTCCATCTCGCGCCAGCTATTTAGCTACATGCGGCAGAAGCCTCCGCCCCCGAAACAACCACAAGCGCTCAGGCCGGGCACCAGGGTGCGGGCCCCGCTTCCTCACGACGTCAGCGCCGCACTCCCTCCCACCAAAATTCGTAGACGCTCCCTGTAACAACCCACGTCGATCGCGCAGTACTTCATTGCGCCAACAAAACCCGAGTCGACCCCCCCCCCCCCTCCCCCGGTCCCCGCGCCGCTCCTTGGACAACTTCAACAGAGCATTTGCTCGGAGTGCGGCCTAGCGGCCGGGCGCAAGTGCGCCCTTTGCTCGGCGTGCGGCGGGGCCTTCCATCCGCAGTGCCTTGAGCCGCCGCTCCAGCACCGCCCCCCCGGGAGCACGCCCGGCGCGCTCCACGGCAAGAACACCTGGGTGTGCTTCCACTGCGAGTGCGCCATTCCGGTAGTGGTCCCGGCCGGCGAGGACGACCCGGACGCGATGGCTGCGCTCAAGTGGTCCGCCGGCAGTGGGTTCGGCAAGCCTGCCTTCGAGGGGAAGCTGCGGACGTTCTGGGAGGCGGAGCACGCGAGGGCCGCTCGGGCGCATGAGGAGAGCATGCGCAGGAGGCGGGAGCGGCTGGAGGAGGAGAAGAAGATCGCGGAGAAAGATGTGAGGTTAAGGGGGGCGTACTCTCATGACTTTGCATGCTTTTGCGTGTTGGACTATTGACCTCGCATCCCTACAATGCAAAAACGCGGGTTCGGTGGGCGGGGTTCTCATGTTTTTCGTGTCTTTGTTGTTAGCCCGTTGACCCCGCAAGCCGGGACGTAGCACGTCGGGTTCTCACCAGCCCAGGCTCGCGTTCACGGGGGGGGCAGGTTGTACTCATGTTTTGCATGCGTGGCCTTGGGTGTTAGGTCCGCGGGTCCTCGAGAGGACAGGGCATTCGTTTTTCCACAGGACTGGAGATCACGGATGGCCAATCGTTCCTTCCTACTGCGTCAAAGGGGGGAGGTTGGTGTGGGTCTTCGACGTGCTTGGTTGGCCCTTGGTAGAGGCTGGAGGTCGTACAACGCTGGGAGTTGGTTTGGGGGGGTTGGGTGCGCTTGTGTTGGCGTTCGTGCGGCTTCGCGGGATTCGTTAGTTACGTGTTTCACCCTGTACTGGTTGCACGGCGTTACGTGTATTTTCCGGTGTTTATTTTCGCATGTTTCTTTTTTCCATGTGAGCACTATGGGATTGTTGGCGTGTTTGGAGGAAACCATGGGGGCGCCCGCCCCCCCCCCCCCCACCCCCCCCTTTGGGGGGAACCAAAAAAACAATCCTTGGAAAACAAAAATG